ATAACAGGCCTTGCCCAGAAGCATGTGTTGGGGGACAATCTGTACTAGAGAGAGAGAGAGACAGAATATTAGGGGGTTCCAGCCAAGAAGGAAGTGGGGGCAGCAAAAGAAGAGGTTACTGGTTCAGAAGTGGCTGATTAGGGCATCACATTGCTCCTGGCAGGAATACAATGTTTACAGAGTCAAAAAGTCCCCATAAAATGCCCTGGCAGTGAACTGTGTGGAAATCATCACTAAGATGATTATAGTTTGTGATTATTGTATCAGCAACTTTTGTAATGATGTTAACTTTTTAGTCTTAGAACATGTTTATTATCGTTATTGTTTAATATTCCTAATATTCCTTTTTACTCTTACTCTTTTCATGTATTCAAATTATGTTTTACCTGTTATCTTATACATGCTTGACAAATAAATAAACAAATAAATAAATAAATAAGAGTAAATTTAATTTAATTTAATTTAATTTAATTTAATTTAATTTAATTTCCAATTTATATACCGCCCTTCTCCCTGAGGACTCAGGGCGGTGTACAGCCAAGATAAAAACATAGAATACAAATATTAAAAACAATTAAAAATATATATAAATTTTGGCCCAAAGTTAAGAAATCACAGACTGATTAAAAGAATTTAAAAATTTCTTCTTAAGCCAACCCGGCTTGCTGGAAAAGATGGGTTTTAAGGGAACGACGGAAGGCATTGAGGTCATGGATTCTCCTTATCTCAGGAGGAAACTGATTCCAGAGGGTAGGAGCCCCCACAGAGAAGGCCCTCCCCCCTGGGGGTCACCAGCCTACATTGTTTGGCTGATGGCACCCTGAGGAGGCCCTCTCTATGGGAGCGCACAGGTCGATGGGAGGTCGTCGGTAGCAGCAGGCGGTCTCGCAGATAGCTAGGCCCTATGCCATGGAGCGCTTTAAAGGTGATAACCAACATTGGAGCCATCCAAAGCAGACTTGCAAGCAGAGCAAATAATATTCCTTTTCAAGGGGTCAATCTTAAATCTTTGAATTGTGAAATCACAGAGTTGGAAGGGGACATGCAGATCAAATCCAACCCTCTGCTCAATGGAGGAAATCAAATTAAAGCATTACAATCGTTAGCTTCTTCCTTAATACGCACAGTGAAAGAAAGGCCACCACCATTCACAGTACTGTATTTGCTTCCACTGTCAACTATTACCACTGTTAGTAAGTTTTTCTAAGAATCAGTCGGAAATTCTCTTTCATCATTCATCTTCATTCTCGCCATTGTCTGTCCACTGCAGGATGAAGGCCACTGCTGCATGCTTCCAACCAATACGGTCTGGAGCTTTCCTTTGCCAGTTGGGCTCGCAATTCTTGCTGATGTTGTCAATCCATCTTGTTTTAGGTCTCTTTCGTGGATACTTTTTATCAAGTGGGATCCATTCTATGACTGCCTTGGTCCACCTGCCATCGGTTCTTCTTGCTATGTGACCGGCCCATTTCCATTTCAATTCTTTTACTCTTTTGATGACATTGTATATTTTCCTTTGTTCTCTAACCTATGTGCAGGTCTTTCCATCTTGTCTTGTGATGCCGAGCATGTATCATTCCATGGCGCTTTGTGCCTCTCGTAGCTTTTGTATCGATTGTGAGGTTAGTGTCCATGTTTCACTGGCATATGTTAGCGCAGGAAGCACACACTGATTGAAAACTTCTCTTCAGGCATAGGGGAGGTTGTTCTTAAAATTACGCTTAGCTTGTTGAATGCCTGCCAACCACATTTAACACGGCATTCAGTTTCCTTTATTGTATCCCCCTTCCACTGAGATCCATTGGCCAAGCTATATGTAGTGGTCTACCACGAATAGTTCTTCTCCAGATATATATTTTTTTCTTTCTCTGGTGAATTTTCCTTTATGTAATTCCCTTTGTGTAATTTAAACCAATGGTTTCTTATTCTGCCCTCTGAGATGATAGGGAGCAGAGTTTGGCCTTCTATATGACAACTTTCAATTGCTGGAGAGGGCATGTATATTATCCAGTCAGTCTTGTGTCCTCGGGGCTAACCATTCTGATTCCTTTCAATCTCGGTACTTGGTGAGGCTAGATTTTTTTTTTTTGAGTTGTGATCACCACAGTGCTCTTCTCTAAATCTTTCCAGTTTGCTCAAGTCCTTCCTGAATATATTGCCCATTGCCCAACACAGCACTGCACAAGACAATGGGTCTGACTAGCACACAATAAAGTGGAAGTACAATTTAAACTAAACCTTTTTATAACGTAATGGTCATTTTGCTTCTGCAAGGGGAAAATAGTTTTCATGTATGATTCTCACAACACACACACATATGCACACACGGAGAGACACATACACAGAGAAAGACACACACAGAGTATATTAGGAGCAATCTTCCCATCACTACCACTGTTATTTTCTGTTTCTGGGACATTTCATTTCATTTCTTAGATTATTTAGTTTCTCAAATATTTAAGGGTCTAACTCAGTGGTGGGTTTCAAATTTTTTTACTACCAGTTCTGTGGGCATGGCTTGGTGGGCGTGGCACCAAGTGGTGTTTGCTTAACAATTGCAAATATGCTTAACAAGTAAATGTGATGATGCACTTTATGACCATGACTTATGACTGCAATGAGCAGGCTTCATTATGGTCGTAAATCAAGGACTACCTATTTTCATCTCATTTTTGAACTAGTAGATATTGTTTTATTCAGAAATTATTTCACATTTAATCACACTTTTTATCTGTCAGACCAAAGGATAGCCACGGAGTCTCCAGAAAAACTAAACCATTTATGGAACTTTTGAAAATCCAAATGTGTAATGGATTCAATAAAGGAGATAATTTGTAGCTGAGGGTTGAGATGAGAGATCCTTGATGCTCTCTGAGCTTGGTTGTTTTCTTGCAGAAACACGGCTAGCACTGATGATGTTACCTAGTTTGGGTAATGAAACATCTGCAAGAAAACAATCAAGCTCAGAAAGCACTAATGACCCCTTCAAAAGGAATTCAATTGTTTTTCATCATGTATTTTATTTTGATGTTGTTTTGCAGATGACATTTTCTTCATTTGGGTAGAAGATTGTGAGCAACTTTATTTCACAAATGGATAAAATGCAGAAATATTGGTGTTCAATTTATTCTCTAACTTTTTTATTTTAGGTCCATTTGTAGGACATTATGATTCAATATTTAGGATTATAGATTTAGATCCTATGAAGAAAAAACTAGACTGTAATATTCTACTTACTGTTAGTTTGATAGCTGTCAGATACTGTATACCATGTTTCCCCGAAAATAAGACCCTGTCTTATATTTTTTTGAACCCTAAAATAAGCACTTGACCTTATTGCCATGCGCTCAAAAGCCCGATTGGGCTTATTATCAGGGGATGTCTTATTTTGAGGGAAGCAGGATATTTACCATACAGTTCATTTTAAAGACTTAAAAAACATGTTTTCCTGAATACGATTTTGACAAAATCAAACAAGTTACAGAACAATAGATAGTGCATATTCCATTTTTTATTTTACAGCAAAAAGACTAGATCCAGAAGTGAACAGCATGAAATATTAATAAGGAAGTCATCTGGATCTAACATATGCAATAGGATAATGTGTAGTTTGGTTCCATTTTCTTCTGAGAGGTGACATGTAGTTCAGTTCAGGTAGTGATAAATTCATCTCTGTGTCAGGGGAGTGGTCCTGCCTGCACTGAAGGAGGTGATCTGCCTTTCCTCAAGAAATCATACTTCAGCTTGATAGTATCAGATAGGAACTCATTCTTTTCAGCTTAGAACAATACCAGCTTGAGCAGACAAAAGTCTTCTTTATGCAAAAGCTAGATGTCAGCTGAAATGCTTGGCCTTGAAGGGCCTCAGTGAAGGTCTTGGCTTTGCTGCATTGCTCTAATTAAACCATTCTGCCATGTTTTTATGACCAGGAATTATACTGAGTGTTAGGCATACCATTCTGTTTAACTAGTGAGAACTTGATGGATCGTCTTTTAAATATACATGCAGTTATTTACCTGATTATGTGTCATTAAACTGATGTTAACTTCTATGACTCTACCCATATATTTTCTTCATGATTATCTGTCCTTAACCTGGTCTTTCAGTCTCCCATGGTGCACCCATCTCCATTGTAACTACCTACTTTGCTGCTGGTCACCCTCTTCTCTTTCTTTTCACCTTTTCCAACATCCAAACCTTCAGAAACTAGGCTTTCAAATGTGTCTGAAGTGGGATAATTTGAGTCTAATCGTTGCCCTCTGAGTGAGAACTTGTGGCTTTGTCTGATGATTTGTCTGTTTTCCTGACTGTCCATGGTATTCTCAAAAGAACTTTCTCCCATACCCAATTTCAAAAGTGTTAATATTTTTTCTGACCTGCATCTTCAAAGTCCAATTTACAAGACTGAGGTGTTGAATTTTTTTTCTGCTCACATAGTTGCTGACAATTGTATATTAGCTGTATATGGAGTTTCCCTAATTAATTCCCTAATAGTGCGAATGGAGACATATACTTCTAATGTTATTTCTAGTGTAATCTTATGAGTTATTACTTTTTTAATATTAGCAGTTTATTGACTAATATGTTCTACGTACATACTATAAACCATCCAGAGTCCAATAGGAAATAAAATAAAGTATCCAATGCAATGCCTCATGCACTTCTCAAGCTAATGGAAACTGCTCACCCATATATCCATAAATAATATTTTTAATGACCCAAAATTGTTGACTCCAGAGCACATCTTTGTTTTTCTTTGAAGACGTTTCGCTTCTCATCCAAGAAGCTTCTTCAGCTCTGACTGCATGGTGGGGAATGGAAGAATTTATATGAGGAGCGAAACGTTTTCAAAGAAAAACAGGAAAGTCCAGTTGCCTCCTAAAAAAGCATCTTTGATCTGGGTTACCGAGAATTTCCTTAGCCGGGGAAGGGTTGATCGCGGAGGGGAAAGGCCAGTTTCCGACCAAGATAACGCAGCGCAGCAGCAGGAAGGGATCCTTTCGCGGCGCTATTTCTTTCTCTGCCTGGTGCGCGAGAGGGATCGTGGGTAGGTCGAGCGCGTTCGGGATCGGATCGAAGAAAAATGGCGGGAGCCGGCAAGAGGGTGGCGAAGGTAAGCTGATGACGCGTGGTTGGGAGACCCTTTTAGGGCTTCGGAGGCATTTCGAGGAAGGCGAAGGGGGGGTGGGTGGAAGGAAGGTTGTGCTGCAGAAAAGATCGCAAGCGATTGAAGTTGATAAGGCGCGCCTCTTTTGAGAAGGAGGCGGCGGCGACGGGGTCTCGAACCCGCAGGTCTTGGGGGAAGCCCCTCCGGCATCTCCGGCAGGAAGGATACTTGATAGGCAACCAGGCAGTCCTGGAGGCTTAACCGGGATGGGGTGGGCAGGCAGTCTTCGGCAGAAAATGTTCAGTTTTTAAATACTACGCTTCACTTTTGGCTAGGGAGAGGATCGCTTTAACGGGATGCTCTCCGATACGTGAGCTAGAGGAGCATCTGCCTGGACTGTCCTAACATCTTTTCATACTTCGGTGCCCAGAATGCCTCCTTTAGAGCCGGAGAGGGATAATATTCAGCGGGTAACCCCTATTTCGAAGGAAAATGCTTGAAACGAAGGCCGTCAGAGAAAAGGAGCTCTTAGGTGCTTTCGGTTTCGTTTCCTGCTGGCTGGAAAGCTTTCCGTGGAAAGGAGGGAGGAGGAAACAGAACCGAACTGAAAAGCTGTTTTCAGAGAATGTGAAGTGATCTGTGACTCAGAAAAGCCATGAAGCAGATCTGTCCGCTGCTAGATATAAGCCATTGCGTTTTTTACAATGACTTGAAAATGAAAAGAAGATTCATTGGATTTCAACACCCACCATTCCTCCTTAAATCCAGGATGAGAGAATTTAAGTTGCTTGAAATGCTGTCAGCATTGATCTCGGAATTACTTTGTGGTGTGTGTTTTTTGTTGCATTTATTCGTTCGTTCGTTCATCGATCCATCCTTCATTCATTTTTGTCTTTTCAGGAACTTGATATCATTAAGAAATTAGGGTTAAGATGCTTTCGGGACATTCAAGCAGATGTGACCAATATTCTCCTTTGGAAAGGACTTTTAATGCCGGTGAGTTCAAAGAAGCTGGATGAGAACAATTGAGACTGACATCTTGCAGGAAATTGTAATGTACAGGTACTAGTCAGAATAATCTAGCATGCTGTCACTTCAAACAATGATTTGGGTGATCATGAAAACACCACAAAGTATCAGAGTCTTTATTTAAGCGGGAGTGGATTACATTTTCAATGTGGGGTACTAAAAGGCCTTCCATATTCACCATTTGGGAAGGGACTGACATCTAATTTTAGTTTGGTCTGCAAGGAAAATTGCATTCCTTAACCTCCTATGAATCATGCTTGTTCCTGTCCTTATACACAGGATAATCCTCCATACAATAAAGGGGCCTTCTGGATTGAGATAAGTTTTCCATGTGAGTATCCACTCAGGCCTCCTACAATAAGGTTCAAAACCCAGATCTACCACCCCAATGTGGATAAGAAGGGTAAATGCTGCCTGCCAATCATCAGCGAAAAGAACTGGGAGCCTTATACAAGGATAGAGCAAGGTATGAGATAGGATGGAGAGAGCTGGGGCTGCTGGATGGCTTTCATTCAATTGCCACTTTGTGTACGTTTTTCTCTGTTTCAAGGAAGTGTCACTTTTAATCTTTTCTGCAGTAATTTATGCCTTGATAGAGCTGGTAAATAAGCCTGACATAGACCACCCAGTGAACCTAGAAGTGGCCAAGGAGTTCAAGGAAGAACATGAGAGATTCCTGTTACAGGCTGAAGATCACACCTGCAAATTCAGTGAGAAGCGGCCATGCGAGTGACCTGTGCTCACCGATTGGAGTCTACCTTATATAATTTTTAGCCTCAAAAGTCTTTGTTTACCAATGGGATGGTAGAGAAGAAGGACCAGACAAAAAATATGCATGATGTAAATTTGGACTTTTCAGAGTAAATGAAAAAGGGGGATGGGAGGGGGGAAAAGAAAGAAGACAGTAAGAATAAGTGTACAATTATGATGATAATACTGATAGAACAAATCTGAAAAGAAATTGAAAGTTTATACTATTAGAATACAGGAGTTGTTCAGATACCAAAAAAGGAGAATATTCCACAGCAAAGAAGATAGGAAGGAGAGAGGAGTAGAGGGTAGGAAGAGGAGAGGGAGGGAGAGGAATGGAAGAAAGGGAAAAGGAGAGGAAGGAAGGGTAGGGAATAGAAGTAGGAGAGAAGGTGAGTAGAGGGAAAAGAAGAGAGGAGTGGGGAAAGGAAGGGGAAGTAGGATGAGGGAGGAGAAGAGGGAGGGAAGGGAAAGAGGAGAAGAAGAAGAAGGGTTGTTGCGAAATGAGGGAAGAAAGGGTAGAAGAGCAACTCCGAATGTAATTAAAATGCCTTATTTTAATGCTTTCTTTAAGGAAACATATATGTAGGATTAATTATGTATAAGAAAATGTACATTTTATATTATGTGTATAAGAAATAAAACTGAAAAAAATTTCCAAAAGAAAAAAAAAGAAAGAAAGAAAATTTGGACTTTTCTGAGTTTAAAGCCAGAACTACTCATTTGGGGAACAAATGAGTAGTTAACTGTCGGTATTGGATTTCAATAAATTTCATATTGAACTGAAGAGAGAACATAATTTTCTAAAACAGAATAATATTTTCCCTCAAAAGAACAGAACAAATTAGAACATTTGCAAAGTTACAGGAGTACATCATAGGAATAAAGTTAGAATTCCACAGAGAAAAAGTACTGAGTTTTCTGTTTTCCAAATACTTCCCAAGCAAAGAATGATTTATCAGGAACAGGAACAGACCAATAGGAATACTTCTGGAAAAAAGAATATTGCATTTGATGCTTTGTTGCATGCTATTCCCTTGCTAGTATATCTTGCCTTGAATGAAGAAAATAAACACATTCTTAATTCTTTTTAATTTGCTCTTCTTCATATAACTTTCCATTTTCATAGTGATTCCTGTAATACTTCAGGATTGTTTCCAAATCTTTCCTTTTCAATACCAAGTTTAATTTATTTAATATATTGTAGTGTTTCTCTTTTTTCTTAAACCTTAGCAATTGCACAGGCTGTGTTGCTTTTTAACTTTCCTCCTGCCACCATGAAAGTATACGTTGAGCTGACTTTCTGTTCTGTAATAAATGTACGTTATAATATATTATAAAGAATGATACATTACTACATTACAGATTCCTGGTGTCTTATTGTTTTCTTTTCATTTTCTCTATGTGAATTTGATTTTACACCTTTGCAGAGTTCTAACAACTGTTAACAATACATGTGGCTTCACAAGCACATATGTCAACAATGCAACATTGTGTAACAGTATTGGTATGACATCAGTTTTGTATCAGGAGGCCAAGCGTGTAGGCAAAGCAGATAAGTACCCCTAGAAAGAGACCATTATTTCGAGCATTGTTTTTGCCTATCTGAATTTTCTTCTTGTTACAATGAATCATACGCCCAGTAATCGCTAAGAAGCAGTTCTGTGAAGTATAACAGAATTTTGCTAATAGTGGTGTGTCTAGTTTAATGAAAAGAAGGACTGTGGCGACATCATAGCAGTCTTCCAACATTTGAAGGGCTGCCACAAAGAAGAGGGAGTCAACCTATTCTCAAAGCACCTGAAGGGAGGACAAGAAGCAATGGATGGAAATTTATTAAAGAAAGAACCAACCTAAAACTAAGGAGAAATTTCCTGACACAGCCATTATCAGTGGAATGACTTTCCTCCAAAATTTGTGGCTGCTCTAACACTGGGCGGTTTTAGGAAGAGGTTGGACAACCATTTTTTCTGAACTGTTATAGGGCAGGGATGTCAAACTCAAGAGCTGCGGGCTGAATCCAGGTGCAGGGTACTTAAATCTGGCCCACAGGGCCAGGCTGGAAATAGCAAAGGACCAGCCTGCGGTGCCTCTGGCAGCCAAAATGGGGCACGGGGGGGGGCTGTGTGCAGCCCCCGCACATCCCGTTTTTGGCCTGGACGGCCTGCAGCACTTTGCTGGCCCAAACAGGGCCCAGCTGGCCCACAGTGGAGAACTACAAAGCTGATCCGGCCCTCAAAGAAATCCGCTTGACATCCCTGTTACAGGATTTCCTGCTTGAGCAGGGGTTGGACTAGAAGACCTCTAACGCCCCCCCTTTCCGGCTCTGTTATTCTGCTCTTCTGTAGGAGGTGTTAAGAGAAGGCCGTATCGTTCAGCTTTTGAAATACCTCAGTTGTGGGTGGAGGGGCCATAGAAGACAGCTATTGTACATCTCTAGAGAGGGCTATTGAGCAGGCAAAGTAAGCCTCTTCAGATGCTTTTCCTCCTGGTCCAGTGCTTAAACATAGGCCAGAATACAAGCAGGGATTCTTGGTCAATGCACTGTGTATGTGCGTGTGCACGTGTGTGTGTGCTATTGTCTAGTTGAATCAGTCTCCTAGATCACAATGATGTGCACCAAGACTGTCCAGTGACTCCAAAGATAGTATCAGTTATTGATACTAAGTATCAGTTAAGAGTATAACAAAGGGGAAGTTAGAAGCAAAATACAATGTTTTCAATAGTGCTCGTTTCTCGCTTTTTTGTGATATCTTTAAATAGTAAGTAGTGGAAACTCTGGCACTCAGTGCAGAGATTCAAAAAGATGTCTAAAATCGTTTTCCTCATTATTAAAATAAGAATAAAGCTGTACAGTTAACGCTCAGTATGTCACTGATGAAGAATGAACCATGAAAAAAAAAATCCAATATATTTAAATGGTTCATTCTTCATCAATAATATACTGAGCCCTAATTGTACAACTTTTGTAACTTCCTTGTCCACCTACTGATACTATATTTTTGCATCAATTCTTTTTTTTTTCCTTTCCCCTTTTCACTTGTTCAGGAACAACAGTTTGAAAACTACCTCCAAAGATTATATCACTTTTAAGTTTTAGTTCAGCACATCTGACCTAGGAGAGAAGAAGCAATGAATTGCCTCTCATTATTTAGAAAGCACAGCTCCTTTGGGCTTGAGCTGAAGGGCTTCAGGCAGCAGGAATCTCATTGAGACATGAGCAATATCTGGGCAGGCAGTCTTCGGCAGAAAATGTTCAGTTTTTAAATACTTCGCTTCACTTTTGGCTAGGGAGAGGATCGCTTTAACGGGATGCTCTCCGATACGTGAGCTAGAGGAGCATCTGCCTGGACTGCCCTAACATCTTTTCATACTTCGGTGCCCAGAATGCCTCCTTTAGAGCCGGAGAGAGATAATATTCAGCGGGTAACCCCTATTTCGAAGGAAAATGCTTGAAACGAAGGCCGACAGAGAAAAGGAGCTCTTGGTGCTTTCGGTTTCGTTTCCTGCTGGCTGGAAAGCTTTCCGTGGAAAGGAGGGAGGAGGAACAGAATCGAACTGAAAAGCTGTTTTCAGAGAATGTGAAGTGATCTGTGACTCAGAAAAGCCATGAAGCAGATCTGTGCGCTGCTAGATATAAGCCATTGCGTTTTTTACAATGACTTGAAAATGAAAAGAAGATTCATTGGATTTCAACACGCACCATTCCTCCTTAAATCCAGGATGAGAGAATTTAAGTTGTTTGAAATGCTGTCAGCATTGATCTTGGAATTACTTTGTGGTGTGTGTTTTTTGTTGCATTTATTCGTTGGTTTGTTCGTTCATCGATCCATCCTTCATTCATTTTTGTCTTTTCAGGAACTTGATATCATTAAGAAATTAGGGTTAAGATGCTTTCGGGACATTCAAGCAGATGTGACCAATATTCTCCTTTGGAAAGGACTTTTAATGCCGGTGAGTTCAAAGAAACTGGATGAGAACAATTGAGACTGACATCTTGCAGGAGATTGTAATGTACTAGTCAGAATAATCTAGCATGCTGTCACTTCAAACAATGATTTGGGTGATCATGAAAACACCACAAAGTATCAGAGCCTTTATTTAAGCGGGAGTGAATTACATTTTAAATACAGGGTACTACAGGCCTTACATATTCACCATTTGGGAAGGGACTGACATCTAATTTTAGTTTGGTCTGCAAGGAAAATTGCATTCCTTAACCTCCTATGAATCATGCTTGTTCCTGTCCTTATACCCAGGATAATCCTCCATACAATAAAGGGGCCTTCTGGATTGAGATAAGTTTTCCATGTGAGTATCCACTCAGGCCTCCTACAATAAGGTTCAAAACCCAGATCTACCACCCCAATGTGGATAAGAAGGGTAAATGCTGCCTGCCAGTCATCAGCGAAAAGAACTGGGAGCCTTATACAAGGATAGAGCAAGGTATGAGATAGGATGGAGAGAGCTGGGGCTGCTGGATGGCTTTCATTCAATTGCCACTTTGTGTACGTTTTTCTCTGTTTCAAGGAAGTATCACTTTTAATCTTTTCTGCAGTAATTTATGCCTTGATAGAGCTGGTAAATAAGCCTGACATAGACCACCCAGTGAACCTAGAAGTGGCCAAGGAGTTCAAGGAAGAACATGAGAGATTCCTGTTACAGGCTGAAGATCACACCTGCAAATTCAGTGAGAAGCGGCCATGCGAGTGACCTGTGCTCACCGATTGGAGTCTACCTTATATAATTTTTAGCCTCAAAAGTCTTTGTTTACCAATGGGATGGTAGAGAAGAGGGACCAGACAAAAAATATGCATGATGTAAATTTGGACTTTTCAGAGTAAATGAAAAAGGGGGATGGGAGGGGGGAAAAGAAAGAAGACGGTAAGAATAAGTGTACAATTATGATGATAATACTGATAGAACAAATCTGAAAAGAAATTGAAAGTTTATACTATTAGAATACAGGAGTTGTTCGGATACCAAACAAGGAGAATATTCCACAGCAAAGAAGATAGGAAGGAGAGAGGAGTAGAGGGTAGGAAGAGGAGAGGGAGGGAGAGGAATGGAAGAAAGGGAAAAGGAGAGGAAGGAAGGTAGGGGATAGAAGTAGGAGAGAAGGTGAGTAGAGGGAAAAGAAGAGAGGAGTGGGGAAAGGAAGGGGAAGTAGGATGAGGGAGGAGAGGAGGAAGAGAAAGGAGGAGAGGAGGGAGGGAAGGAAAGAGGAGAAGAAGAAGAAGGGTTGTTGCAAAATGAGGGAAGAAAGGGTAGAAGAGCAACTCCGAATGTAATTAAAATGCCTTATTTTAATGCTTTCTTTAAGGAAACGTATATGTAGGATTAATTATGTATAAGAAATGTACATTTTATATTATGTGTATAAGAAATAAAACTGAAAAATTTTTCCAAAAAAAAAAAGAAAGAAAGAAAGAAAGAAAGAAAGAAAGAAAATTCGGACTTTTCTGAGTTTAAAGCCAGAACTACTCATTTGGGGAACATTTAGATGCTTGAATAAGCATAGGTTCAAAGTTAAGATACAGATGAATGCATCTGAATTAAGTTAAAAATCTCTGCCTGTTCATGGTACGGATGAAAATCCATGTTACTTTCCCCATCCTGGAGCTAAAATCTGTTACCTGAAAGGATAGTTCTGGCTTTAAAGTCAGTATTGGATTTCAATAAATTTCATATTGAACTGAAGAGAGAACATAATTTTCTAAAACAGAATAATATTTTCCCTCAAAAGAACAGAACAAATTAGAACATTTGCAAAGTTACAGGAGTACATCATAGGAATAAAGTTAGAATTCCACAGAGAAAAAGTACTGAGTTTTCTGTTTTCCAAATACTTTCCAAGCAAAGAATGATTTATCAGGAACAGGAACAGACCAATGGAATACTTCTGGAAAAAAGAATATTGCATTTGATGCTTTGTTGCATGCTATTCCCTTGCTAGTATATCTTGCCTTGAATGAAGAAAATAAACACATTCTTAATTCTTTTTAATTTGCTCTTCTTCGTATAACTTTCCATTTTCATAGTCATTCCTGTAGTACTTCAGGATTGTTTCCAAATCTTTCCTTTTCAATACCAAATTTAATTTATTTAATATATTGTAGTGTTTCCCTTTTTTCTTAAACCTTAGCAATTGCACAGGCTGTGTTGCTTTTTAACTTTCCTCCTGCCACCATGAAAGTATACGTTGAGCTGACTTTCTGTTCTGTAATAAATGTAGGTTATAATATATGATAAAGAATGATACATTACTACATTACAGATTCCTGGTGTCTTATTGTTTTCTTTTCATTTTCTCTATGTGAATTTGATTTTACACCTTTGCAGAGTTCTAACAACTGTTAACAATACATGTGGCTTCACAAGCACATATATTGTCAACAATGCAACATTGTGTAACAGTATTGGTATGACATCAGTTTTGTATCAGGAGGCCAAGCGTGTAGGCAAAGCAGATAAGTACCCCTAGAAAGAGAGAGAGAGACTATTATTTCGGGCATTGTTTTTGCCTATTTGAATTTTCTTCTTGTTACAATGAATCATACGCCCAGTAATCGCTAAGAAGCAGTTCTGTGAAGTATAACAGAATTTTGCTAAAAGTGGTGTGTCTAGTTTAATGAAAAGAAGGACTGTGGCGACATCATAGCAGTCTTCCAACATTTGAAGGGCTGCCACAAAGAAGAGGGAGTCAACCTATTCTCAAAGCACCTGAAGGGAGGACAAGAAGCAATGGATGGAAATTTATTAAAGAGAGAACCAACCTAAAACTAAGGAGAAATTTCCTGACAGAGCCATTATCAGTGGAATGACTTTCCTCCAAAATTTGTGGCTGCTCTAACACTGGGCGGTTTTAGGAAGAGGTTGGACAACCATTTTTTCTGAACTGTTCTAGAGCAGGGATGTCAAACTCAAGAGCTGCGGGCTGAATCCAGGCTGCGGGGTACTTAAATCTGGCCCACAGGGCCAGGCTGGAAATAGCAAAGGACCAGCCTGCGGTGCCTCTGGCAGCCAAAATGGGGCACGGGGGGCCGTGTGCAGCCCCCGCACATCCCGTTTTTGGCCTGGACGGCCTGCAGCACTTTGCTGGCCAAAACGGGGCCCAGCTGGCCCACAGTGGAGAACTACAATGCTGATCCGGCCCTCAAAGAAATCCGCTTGACATCCCTGTTACAGGATTTCCTGCTTGAGCAGGGGTTGGACTAGAAGACCTCTAACGCCCCCCCCTTTCCGGCTCTGTTATTCTGCTCTTCTGTAGGAGGTGTTAAGAGAAGGCCGTATCGTTCAGCTTTTGAAATACCTCAGTTGTGGGTGGAGGGGCCATAGAAGACAGCTATTGTACATCTCTAGAGAGGGCTATTGAGCAGGCAAAGTAAGCCTCTTCAGATGCTTTTCCTCCTGGTCCAGTGCTTAAACATAGGCCAGAATACAAGCAGGGATCTTGGTCAATGCACTGTGTATGTGCGTGTGCACGTGTGTGTGTGTGCTGTTGTCTAGTTGAATCAGTCTCATAGATCACAATGATGTGCACCAAGACTGTCCAGTGACTCCAAAGATAGTATCAGTTATTGATACTAAGTATCATTTAAGCGTATAAGAAAGGGGAAGTTAGAAGCAAAATACAATGTTTTCAATAGTGCTCGTTTCTCGCTTTTTTGTGATATCTTTAAATAGTAAGTAGTGGAAACTGTGGCACTCAGTGCAGAGATTCAAAAAGATGTCTAAAATCGTTTTCCTCATTATTAAAATAAGAATAAAGCTGTACAGTTAACGCTCAGTATGTCACTGATGAAGAATGAACCATGAAAAAAAAAATCCAATATATTTAAATGGTTCATTCTTCATCAATAATATACTGAGCCCTAATTGTACAACTTTTGTAACTTCCTTGTCCACCTACTGATACTATATTTTTGCATCAATTCTTTTTTTTTTCCTTTCCCCTTTTCACTTGTTCAGGAACAACAGTTTGAAAACTACCTCCAAAGATTATACCACTTTTAAGTTTTAGTTCAGCACATCTGACCTAGGAGAGAAGAAGCAATGAATTGCCTCTCATTATTTAGAAAGCACAGCTCCTTTGGGCTTGAGCTGAAGGGCTTCAGGCAGCAGGAATCTCATTGAGACATGAGCAATATCCTTTCTTTTTATGTACACTGACAGCATATACACCAAAGACAAATTCCTTGTGTGTCCAATCACATTTGGCCAATAAAAGTATTCTATTCTATTCTATTCTATTCTATTCTATTCTATTCTATTCTATTCTATTCTATTCTATTCTATTCTATTCTATTCTATTCAGCAGAATTAAACCACTAGATCTTGCTTTCCTACTGCTTTCCTAAGACTTGCTTTCTTTTCAAGTTCCCCCCTTTTTAAAGTAAGCTTTTCCTCTGAACGTCACTTGCATTGGCCACTGGAAATAGGCCTGTAAAGGAATATGTATTTCTGCAACCTAAAATACCAGCATGTACACCTGTCTTGTTTTCAATAAATAAACAGTTTGCAGCTCTCCTCCCTCTTTAGTTCAGGCTTAAAGCCCTCGTCCTCCTCTTCCTCCCTTTCTGAATATAGTGTGTTTATATTTAAAAGTGGGAAGAAGAAGCAAAGTGGGGATTTTTTTACACTGAATTATATCCTGTTTGCAGCTCATCTTGTAAAATGAGCTGTCTTCTGAACAATTTCAACTTGTTCCTCCCCAAAATCCTTCCAAGCTGCCGAGAACATAGCAAAATCACCACATGTAAATCTCTGCCTCCAGAGAGGTTTTCATTGCCCCACACTGAAAGCTTTGTCATTTGATGTTTGTCCAGCACTTTTCCTGTAAACCAACAAAGGAGGGAATTCCCCCCCCCCTCTCCCTCCAATCAGCTTGTTTATTCTTAGCCTCTTATCTGCACAGTGTGATTTCTTTGCTCAAAGTTCAATGGTTTGGGGAGTAGCTGAATGCAGAGGAGCTTATTTCTTAGAAAACAAACATAAGATTGTGTCACGTATGTCGTGTTGCTCAAACCATTTTAAGATGCCCGGGCAGCTACATCAAACAGAGCATGTTTGCATTCTCCCTTGGAAACCACGCTGTAGGCCACCTGAGTTGCCGTTGCTAAAACAGAATGCAGCATAAAAATACAGTGTGACAGCCTTGACTTGGTGCAGTTGTGCTTTAATGGAACCGGTGCTTGGTAAGGGAAAGGGTGATGGCAGCATGGGTTGCAGGAAGGCTTTTGCAATCCAAAAAGAGGATGCGGGGTTGCTGATGGTAACATCTGGAAGGACACACTGCTTCTGAGTCATGTGTCTTTGCGGCAGGCTCAGTTCTGCTTCCATAAACACCAGATGTTTGAAGTGCTGACATGACATTATTAAGCGTTCCTTTCCTGCTCTTTTCAGGTGGCACATAGCAAACTTTAGTCGGGGTTAAGTAGCAGCGGTTGATTCCAGTGCCATACTCGGGAAATTGCAGAATATATATGTCTTTTAGCCTGGCTACATCCCATGTTGCATTCTGCCTGAAAAATTTAAAAAAACAACAAAACATCCAAATTTGAGGTGTCTTGGAGAAAACACAGAAGCCAAGCACGGTGGATGGTTCCAAGCATAGTTTCCCAACAACCGCTATCATTTCTACAGTGTTTCTAAGTGGGTTTATAGGCCAGCCTGCCTGCCAATTGGATATAGAAGGACCATAGCCCTATGTTTCTTTGAAATCCTACCAGCTTTAATGTGGAAAGGATCCAGCTGTTGAATAAAGTTTTTTTCCCAATCTAGAGCCCTCCACATAGGTTGGACATGTTGACTGGGGAGCTTAATGCATAAAGTCTCATATCTACAGGGCACCTGGTCAGTCATTGCTAGAACACTCTGCTGGTATTCCATCTTTTGCCTGAGATTATTTTGTCACGAGTAACTCTCTTTATGTGCCATTTTTACTGCACCAACATGCTCCAGCTAGACCTCTAACAATCACCTGGAATTGGAAACAGCAATATTTATTTTATTTCTAGATAGTCTGTTCATTTAAACAGACTATCTAGAAATAAAATGGTCTTGCAAGCCAAAATGGCTTATCTTTCCAGTAATGAGAATGTTAAGATCCCTACCATCATGATGAACTTTTCTAGGGATCAAACACCTTTAACATCTTTAAGCATTTCTTGAATCATTTTTTAAAAATTTGATTTATATGCCACCCTTCTCCGGAGACTCCGGGCGGCTTAACAATGCGTTAAGCAATAACCTTCATACTTTTGTATATTTTATACAAAGTCAGCTTATTGCCCCCACAATCTGGGTCCTCATTTTACCTACCTTAGAAAGGATGGAAGACTGAATCAACCTTGAGCCTGGTGAGATTTGAACTTGCAGTAATTGCAGGCAGCTGATGTTAATAACAGTGCTTTAGTCTGCTGTGCTACCAGGGCTTTATGTGTTATCCTTTATTGTTTTCCACCAACTAAAGGAGCGACATCATCAATGGACATTTCCATTTAAGGAGATACTATATTACTTGGTAGCTAATAAACTAACATGGCATTGAGACCCATGAAGGAAAATATACTATATCCCAATAAGAGCATCATTCCCAAATTCTGTTCTGATCTAAGCTTCCTTAGAAATTAAACAGCACAAACTTAGTCCCGGCAAACCTCTTTAATTCATACGGCTGTAAATTACTTTCATTTATAGTCCGCAAAACTTAATAAACAGTCTTTCAAGGAAAGTTATCAACACCCACCTATCTCATGTGGAATGCTGCCAAAGAGCTAATTTCCAGATGCAGGGCAAGACCAAACTTGGCACAGAGTCACAAACAGAAGTTTCAAATCTTGAATCGGCCAGATGAACTAATTGCTTCCTGCAAAAGCTCATGTCCCATTCGCTTCTCTTTTATGTCTTATGGGAGGAGCCAACCATCTCCAAGCCTTACTCCCAAATTGACCCTGTTTCCTTAATTGTTCCTGCCTCCTGGCAGCTCTGCGCATGTGCACACTGGGAATAGGCTCACGCTGTTCTTCTGCCTTGCTGATGTCAGACTTTGGAGACTCCGGAGGCAGCAAAGAACTACCAGATGGCTTTGGCCCCCTCTCTGCCTCTGACTCAGAGCCATCGTCCGAGCCTTCCCCAGACTCCAGGACTGGCCCACATTCCTCCCCAATCTCCTCACTGTCCTAATCTGCTGCCAGCTCTGCTGGCTGCTGGCGGACCACAACAAATTCTGAGGGTGGGACAATAATATTGGTTATGCAAAAAAAAAAAAAAATCCAAGGAATATGTTGAAGATTTTTAAGTTAAATATGAAACCTTAATTTTTTTAGCCCTCATACCTAAACATGTGTAGGTGTTCTGTGCTAGATCTGGAAGATGGGGGAATAGTTTAAAAACAAATTATGACTAAAATTCTTCTTTGCCAGGTGCTACCAATTAGCAAGAACTCAAACCTTCTATTATTTTTCAATTTCTTTTGGTTTTATCTAATTGCAATTAATGTGATTCAAGAATTTCAAGGAGCTAGTCCCCTTTGAAGATGAGAACCACAGAAACCTTCTTACCTGCCCCCACCAAGTTTTTCTATAGCTTCCCATGAGCCTCAAACCAAAGCCTGCTTTGCATTTCTATTTCTTCTTGGTCTTTACTAGCCCTTTCTCCACCAAGCTGCGATAAAGTTCCTGGACATAGGTGTAGATGCACTTATTATCAGGAACACTCATGCGCACCATGTCCTCCACCTCCAGAAGTTGAGCACAGTCTGCATATTTCCTGAAAAAAAGATGGACAAATAGTCAACTATGCTGCATACCTCAATAATTTGGCAAAGCAGCTTGAGTATAACTGTTCATCCCCAGAATTAACAAGCTTTATTCTAGAGAACTGGATCAGGATGCAAAATCATGGTGAGGTCCAAGGAGATAGTGAATTTGAACCTCTTGCCTGTTTAAGTTGAATAAATTTCATTATAGCACTAGAGTAACACTGGGTACACCATAAGTCACTGAAATTATTTTGAAACTTTGGGAAACATAAAATAATTGCAGAACCTACTCTTGCTTTTGATTATCATTTTCCTTTGTTCTAGCAAGGACTCCTGCTTCTTTTTCAGAATGGGTCCTTACTCTGGCTATTCAAAGGCTTTGAATTCTCTCCTTCAGAGCTTAATGTTATCTTGAAGCTTGATATTTATTCAGCCTCACCAGCATACTAACTGATTTAGCAATTTTGGTAAGGGGTGTCCTAAAAGTAATTGTCTGTTGCTGCTTGGTTTGAGTCCTTTGTAGAGTAGATAATTACTGATTATTATTTATGATGGTTATATACTACCTCCAAGTTCAGAGATACAATAGTGTGCATGTCAATACCACTATTGAAGGACAAGTGGGAGATTCTCAAAATTTATGTTTAACTGTTGAAGAACACAGTTCTGCTCTAGATTAGATTTTAATCTGATCCAGAGGACACTTGGGTTATTATGATAATGTTCTTGAAGGTGTGTTGATTTCTTGAAGTTTCCTGTTTTATCATGCTTAACAGTTGAAGGTTGATCAACTACGACATAACTACTTTTTCCTGTAAAGCAATCCCTACTGTGTTAAGCCATTGTGAAGAGCTCCTTAGCAAACCTCACTATGTGCCGGTTACAATCATTCTTTTTAAAACAAGAGATGCTAACAAATAAAAGATAATAACTCCAGGGTTTTTAAAATTCTATAGTCTGGTTTCAAGCTTAGCTTTGGGCCAAAAAAACTTTTTGAATCTCAGTTCTGATATTGCTAATTCTCATAGATGTACTGTAGCTGGATGTTTCAATATTTTTGACTATACTTATATTCCTGATCCTAGCTATTTGAGAAGGAATATGGATCAACCCAAAGAAGTTGGGAAACTAATAGCAGATAACTTTATGGATTGGAGAAATGAAGGTCAATCTCTTTGTAAAAGTCTGTATTCTTCTTTTAAAATTCAGATTCTCAGCTTGATGGATTTGTGTGAATCTTAGATGGGGATGTCTAAATGCTAAGTGTGAGCAAAAAAAGGGGGGGCATTTGTCAGTGGCAGACACCCCTAAATACTGTAAAGATAACTAGGCCATGGCCATCTATATTTTTCTCATAGCAATGAAATTAGACTATTGCAGTCTGCTGCATATAGGGTTGCCTAGGGAGATTTTTCATAAACTTTAAAACTGATCCAAAATATTGCTGCTAAATATAGACAAGATTTGTGGTTAGAAATATATGATGCCAAACATTTAGCCACCAGTCAGTTTAAAAGGAAGCTGCAAGATTTCAGATTGTACATCCCACATGGTATGGAGCTCAAGTAACAGAATAAAATCTGCACAACTGTACCTGCATATGAAGATAATTCTATATGCTTTTCTCTAAGTTTCCCTAGTTTGGGAGGTTATGTGCCTCCCTGCCCTTTCCACATCCTGCTGCTTGTATGAGTGGAAGGCCTTTTGATCATGCTACAATTTTAATCCCTGTTAAAGTTCGCAACATTTGCACATCTACCAGTTTAATTGATCAGTTATTGGACACTGTTTTGATCTTTTGTAACACTGATATTTCATATGAACTATATAACAGTAGAGGTCAAAGGCAGGGCAAAATTACTCCAGAGAATAACTTCACACATTTACTAACACCATGGTGCCCTTTCTGGGAGTTAGTACTCATCCCTGACTCAGCCTGCCCTAGACCTCTGGTTGTGGCCAGAGGTCTAGAATGGAGGGGAGTGCTCACTCAGCAGTAGAGAAGGCCAGGGTGAAATTCTCTTTCCGATTTGCTGGGTCAAGGTTTGCATAGTCAAAGGCATCAGGAAAGAACTTGTGGATGAGGGCACAAAAAGCCATGCCACTTTTCCAACTGGTAGAAAAGTTCTGAATGTCCACATGCTGAAAATGAGAAAAAGAGATAGTAAGCACAAAAGGTCAACCACTTCTTTTTTAGGTTTTCCCGCACTAGCAAGTGACTGAAACATGCATTCCTATCTATCTAATATAAACTTATCATTCTGGTAGAATACGTTGTTGGATTGGAACAAGTTGTGTGAATGGATTTTACTTACATATGACATGAAAAAGTTATCTGTAAAATATGGCAGTAATTGGGGAGCATTCTGAATCTAGATTATTGTGTTAACATCCTCCTCTTTTTGAGCATTGTTAATTGTAACTTGGAAGTGAAAGGAAAAAATTGTAAGGACGATGGAGAATTAACTTACTGCCCCTATGTGCTCGGCATTCTTACTTCACCTTACTGTTGTATTTTAAAATTTCACATAATGTTTCCATCATTTATCTTTCAGTAATCTTTCAAGCCTGCCTGCATTATAGGTCATGATTTGTGAAGCCATAATTTCTGATACACAGCACACATTGCATGTAGCGATGGCTTCGTCTATTCTGCTGGATGTTAGTAATATTGTGATAGGCCCTGTGTTTTGTAGTACATGAATTATCAACACATATGTCACCATTTTGACTGTATGCTAACAGTTTCACTAAAGGTTAGGTATTATAACTTCAAAGTATCTTACAATCTCAGTATGTGAGGTATATTGGCTTTCAACTAAGATTTTTAGTTCACGAACTCATTCTCTTAACTCTTTGAGTGAAATTCAACATCTGAATATAAAGCATAATGAGAAAACAGTACAGGCTAAAATTGCACACATGAGTCTTCATATTCACATGATAGTGAGCATGTGCTGGTTAATAACAACAAAATACCAGCATCGCACAAAGAAGTACAGTATTTCCTGACCTAGTTCACAGAAGAGATTATTCTACTATGATGCCTCCAGGCCTTTGCTCTCCAACTCTGATCAAAAACAGGGCAAGAATTTGGAATACCATCAGAATCAAGAAATTTCTCTGGGATTACTGTATATATAACAACAACAACAACAACAACAACAACAAAAAGACAATACAAACAAAAAGTAGCATCAGGGGGCTTTTGGGGGGGGTACTACATAGTCTTTCATAGTCTTTAACTCTGGGTAGTGATGCTTTCCCAAATACTCTTTAAAACCCAGAAAGATGTATACTCACTTCTGAGTAAAGTACACTATGTTGGAGTAAGTTTGCCAGAACTAGGGAATATTGGCTTCACATCTCTTAAATTCTGATCATCCACAAAGGCCTTCCTGCTGTTGCATTACTGGTGCCCCCTAAACCTGATTTCACCTTCCAAGGGAAACCAACTTGCCTACTTCACTTCACAGACACATTTAAGGGCACTGGAGAAGTTCTCATTTCATAGCTGATACCTTACTTCATAGCCACGGGTCATGGCCCGACACCATTCCAGCAACATGGTCTTCACAGTGTTTGCACCTCCAGTCCTCTTGATATTGGGGGCAGGACCAGTTGCAGCCCTTTGGAAGACAATTAAGGGGAAGAAAGGGAGGGAATAGGAAGGTAGAGAATAAACAAATGTATTTTTTAATCATACACAGATCCTATGAGATTTGGCTGGAGCAAGTCCCTTTTATCTCTATTACCGTATTTTCTGCTGAACATCATGTGGGACAGAGATCTGCCTGGTTTTGTTGTGGCCCCGCCCTCTGAGCCTGTCCCATCGGAGGAAGAAAGCTCCGAGCATGAGGAAGAGGAGTCAGCCAGGCCTCCCTCTCCAGGCCCCTCCCCTCTGGCATTGTCTCAGGTGCCGGCCGAGGGAGAGGAGATTAGCAGGGAGACAGGTGGCTCGGATCAGAGTGACGGAGAAACATCATTCCTGGACGCACGCCTCCGAAGGCGTGATAAACGATTGCAGCAGCTTAGGAGGCGTGCTAGGGATTAGAACTGAGTCACTGGACCACACCCCAGAGACTATATAATAGAGGGTGGTGGTCAGTGATCCTTGTGACGAACAAAAGTAAACCTTGGATAGTCACTAAAGCCTCGTCCGGAACTGCTGAGAGAAATATTATTCTGCTTGGACTTTTTGTACGCTAAGTATCTTATCTTTCTGTTTTGTGGAAATAAACGCACTTGGCAGACGGTGTGTAAATCGCTGCCAAGTTGGAGATAAGACCTGGGTGTGTGCCAAAGTGTTTCCTTAACCCTCGGCTGGCTGTGTTTGTGTGTGTGTGTGGACGGGGACAGATCAGGTTTGTAGCAATATATGCTATCTAATTTGATTGTGTAAATATGTATGCATTTTATAATTTGTGCAAGAGAAACACTTGGTCGGGCACGTTTTTTTTCTGGAGGTGCTGAATATGGTTGTGTTCTGATGGACTTGCCTGGCTGTGCAGACACCTCTGGGGCAGGGGTGAAATGCTCCTGGTTTGCACCGGATCACCTGATCCTGTAGCGATGGAGGTGGGTGGTTCGGAGAACCAGTAGCAAAAATCCCTCCCCCCCGCCCAGCTGAGCCGCGCAATCATCAGAGGCTTTTTTTTTACTTTTAAAAGCATTTTTTCTACAACCTCTTCGGCCGAAAAAATGCTTTTAAAAGTAAAAAAAAAAGCCTCTGATGATTGCGCGGCTCAACTGGGATCGTCAAAGGCTTTTAAAAGAAAAAAAACCCTTTTTTTCTTTTAAATGCCTCTGACGATCCAAGCTGAGTTGTCTCTGCTGATCAGGCAACTCAGCTGGGATCGTCAGAGCCTTTTGAAAGCATTTTTTTACAACCTCTTCGCCAAAGAGGTTGTAGAAAAAATAGTTTTAAAAGTTAAAAAAAAGGCCACGCCCACCCAATCACATTAACCCCCCCAAGCCACGCCCACAGAACTGGTAGTAACAAATTTTAGATTTCATCACTGCTCTGGAGTATAGATAGCAGTGTGGGCTTTCGCTGCCCAATATCTGAAGTTTATTGTGGCAGTTGGATCTAGTCACACTTCTTAAACATGTCCCCTTATAAATGGTCTTGGATGATAATAGAGGCCAGTGCTGCCTGGGGATGATAGATACTGCTTGGGGAAGGCTGGGTTTTTATATTGTGGTAAACCAAGTATGAGTAACCCTTAGCTCTTCAGGGATTATAGAGTTTTTCTACGTTAAGAGCAGAATTGGGTGATACAGTGAGGCAAACAAGACAGTACTGGGTGGGCTACATAAATATATGTATCTAGAATTTTGGGATTTTCTTTTTGGGTTGGGGGGATTGTTTTTTCAATGTTAAGGTACATTGTGTGACGAATATGCTCAATTTCCATTGCACGACACCTTCCTTTTATCGAATGGCCCTTCAATAAAGCAGCAGTAGCATACAGTAAAGTTCTAAATACCCCACTTTTTTAAAAGCTTTGAAAAATCAGATTTGGGGTTGTTGTTTTTTTTGTTAATCTCTCACTTCAGCTATGTGTGAAGCACAGTTTCTTTCTTTGCTTTCTCATTGAACAGAAGGCTTGTCATACCCCTTGTCTCATAGCTTATGTTTCAGCCAGCCAAACTTGGAGAAAACTTCTCAAGTGCAGTTATGTTGGTATGAAACCATACATTCCTGCCAGGATTTGTTGGAATACTATATTCATCATCAAGGCTGATCTGGCACCACAGAAGAAGAAGTCTTTCTTGGCTTCTCCACATTTGCCAACAATTTTCCCAAAGCAATCCATCCATTGCAATGAGCCAGATAGCAGGCTATCTTGATTAGTGTTTTGTAAACCACAGGTAGTCCTCAACAGGGGTGAAATCTACTTACCTTCCTTACTGGTTCGGAAGCGCATACACCCCGCGCGCGAGCAAAGCAAGCATGAGCGCATCACGTGCACATCTGCGCATACAGAAGGTAAAAAAAACATTACTTCCAGGTTAAAACCAGGAAGTAATGACACCCGGGTAGCGATTTCTATTGGATCGCCAAACCACAGGGAAAAATCGCTACCAGATCGGGTGATCCAGTCCGATCCGGGAGCATTTCACCCCTGGTCCTTGACTTACAACAGTTCACTTAGTGACAGTTCAAAGTTCCCACGACACTGAAAAAAAGTGACTTATGACCATTTTTCGCAGTAACGACCTTTGCAGCATCACCATGATCATCTGTTCAAAATTCGAATGCTTGGCAACTGGTTCATACTTATGACCGTTGCTGTGTCCCACGGTCATGTGATCACCTTTTGCGACCTGTTCTGCCCCAGCTACAGACCCCAAAGAACGTAGCACACACAAAGTCCGAACAAACCTTAGTTTACTAAATTAAATCAGTCTTTTACGAACAAAGGCTGTTAATTAACTTCATTAACAGCCTACAAGACACCAAATAATAATAACCATAATTTTACTATGGTTGGCAGAATGCCCAGAAGCAATTTGCAGGAAACTGATAAGAGAAACATTTTTCCTGGCGGAATAAAAAACAACCTTTTTATTCCCCCAGGCGGGCCTGGCCTAATCTTTCCCCTCTTTTCTTTTAATATGCAAATTTTAATCTGCTTTTTAAATGATTGGGGTGTTTTAATTTGTCTGGGCCAAATTGTTTAATTCGATTTTATCCTGTTTTTTAAATTTTGTATTTATGTATTTTACTGTTTGGCTGTTCACTTCCCTGAGTCCTTCGGGAGTAGGGCGGTATACAAATCAAATAAAGATAAAGATAAAGAAGATTAAGACGCAAAGGAATGTGAAGTTGTTCCCTGCAAATTGCCTTAGTCGTCGTCCTTCCTTAAATAGGCTAAGGGAGTGGCCAATTAGCCCCAAGCCTTACTCTCGAGGAGACCTCCTCCTGAGGAGCCACTCCTGCCTTTTGGCAGCTCTGCGCGCCTGTGCATCAAGAAGAGGCTCCTCCTCTTCTTCCTCTTCACTTATGGGAGCTTTTGGAGGTTCTAAAGGCCCTGGCTGAATCCCCGCCTCTGGCACCACATCTTTTCCAGCCTCCTCATTGTCTGACCTGAGTGCCAGCTGCACAGGCTGCTGGCGCAGCACCACACCAGCCTCCTCGCTGTCGGAATCAGCTACTAGCTGCACAGGCCGCTGATGGGCCACAACACCTTCTGACAAGCAAAGTCAATGGGGAAGCCAGATTCACGTAACAACAGGGTTATTAATTTACCAACCACAGTTATTCAGTTAACAAGTGAGGTAAGAAAGGTCGTAAAATGGGACAAAAAAGAGCCTTGGTAGTACTAGGGTTTAAGGCACCCTGTTATTAAGCTGCTTAAGACCAGCTGCCTGCAATTACTGCAGGGTTCGAATCTCGCCAAGGCTCAAGGTTGACTCAGCCTTCCATCCTTTCTAAGGTAGGTGAAATGAGGACCCAGTTTGTGGGGGCAATAAGCTGACTTTGTATAAATATACAAAAGGATGAAGGCTATTGCTGAGCACATTGTAAGCCGCCCTGAGTCTTCGGAGAAGGGCGGCATATAAATCAAATTAAAAAAAAAAAAAACTCATTTAACAAATGTCTCACTTAACAACAAAAATTTTGGGTTCAATTGTGGTCATAGGACAAGGACTACCTATATTAGACAAATGCATGACACTATATACAGGAAGGGAAAGGGTTCCAGAAAAAAAAAAAAGGGAGGAGTTTCTTTAATTTTGTTTTTCTTTTGGTACTTAGTAAACTCATGCAGTGCTATGGTAGAATTAGGAAGCTATGGACCAGGTGATTAGAGCAGGGGTCTCCAATCTTGGCAACTTTAAGACTTGTGGACTTCAACTCCCAGAGTTGAATTCTGGGAGTTGAAGTCCACAAATCTTAAAAGTCGCCAAGGTTGGAGACCCCTGGATTAGAGTATTGAGGCAGGGAGACTGAACTTTTATTGACTGCCATTCATAGGTGGGTCTTCTTGTCTCAGTACTCAGATACTGAATATGACTGCGGATATAGAGAGGTGAGCAGTGGATGGCACTGAATTAGGCAGTATGATAAAACACAGTTTGGAGTTGCATACTGTGAGAATGAAATGAAGCACATTAAGGATGTTTTGCAAATGGAACAAATTTATCATCCGGTGGAGCTCAACGCACAGCCTATTTTAGGGCTTATGTTAAATTATTCATTTGTTTTCAGTCTCAAAATGTCTGGAAACCATGCCGCAGAGTTTCATCGGTAAGTCGGGCAGGCCACATACAGCTGGAGAGATACTGCCCACTCTAGCGCTAAGACATAATATAATTGCCTTGGTTTCGGTTTACTGTAAGGTATGCATTTAGCCATCGTGTTTTGTAAGCCAAACTACAGAAAGGTTTATTGGTATATCCATCAGCAGGGCTGAACAAACTGTAGTGAAACGAACTATGGCAGAACCTGTGACACAGCGGCCTTACCCTCCAAACCTCTCCACAATGGCTTTGCGGGACTGTCCCCTGGGTGGCATCCTTGGCCTGGTTATCTCTCTTCGGTCAAAAGCAGGCCTCTTCTTTTTCTCTTTGGCAGTAGCTGCTTCCTCTGGTGCAGCAGAAGGGGGCTCTTTCTCTCCCTTCAGGGCAGCTTCAGGGCTGAGAACCAGAAATAAAAACAGTTCTCCTCACTGTTACTACTCCTTGTCCCATTTTGGTCATCCCAGTCATTGCTGAACTTTGCTTTCTGAGTGCTCCCTGCAGAGTAAAAAGTGGTAATGTAGCCTCTGGGATGGGCAAAAGATGCAGAATTGCTGATAGACAATGATTTGCAGTCAATTGCCAAGGATCCTTTTCTCTCAATGGTTTAAAAAGAAGGATCCACCAGCTGACCCATTCTTCCTTCCTTCTGTATCTAATGATAGACCTGAAGTGGGAAAAAAATTTGAGGAAGGAAGGCTCATGTGTTTAGCAGTATGAGCTATATTTAACTCTGAAACTCAATCTGCTCTTCGCTTCTTCAATTCTTAGGTGTATATTTATTTATTTAGAAAATTTATTTGCTGTCCATCTCGTATCCAATGATTATGGATACATCTTTTGCACCAGGTTCTGATAAGCGATTATCAGGCTTGTAGCCATCTCCCCCAATATACCTTGTAAACCTGAATCTTGTCCATCTCCAATGTAGCCCACCCTCTAGAAAGGCTTCCAGAGATTATCTCACCTGGTGATTTCCGCTGGAGCAGCTTCTGGAGCGGTCGTTGGTGGAGTAATGCCACCTAGATTGGATTACAGACATGTTATTAGTTTTTCTTACCTTGTGAATGAACCTCTGTCCCATGTCTGAACTGCGGTCTCTTTAATCTCCTCTGTATCTTGCCCTCATCCATGTTTTGCAGTATAGAAAATAGCAGCAGACGGTTTCATAAATCATTACAGGGAAATGGAGAACAGACCAGCCTGATGGGGACAGGGGGCAAAACTGGGATTCCTGCTTACATTGTCAATAAGGTATCAGCGAAGGTCATGAGAAAAATGTCTTCAGAAGGACTGAGCAATAATGCAGGAAGTTATGAAGTCTAGAAACACTGATTGTGGAGGGTTTGTTGCTTCACTGGTAAAAAAAAATAATGGTCTATTTAGGATTAAGGTCCAGGCAGACATTTTAGGATAAAGGGTGGACAATTAATTTTCCCAAGGGGATACATGAGAAACTGGGACTGTTGTGGAGGCCCACTGATGTTGCCCTGCCCCTGGAGCCCGACTCTGCCACTCCATTGATGCCACAGGCTGGAGATGGATAGCTGAAGGGTCAGATGTAGCCCATAGCCCATAAAATACCTACGTCTGTTCTAGGAGGTATTATTTTAAGCCAGAAATCCCAGTTGTCACTTCTCCTTTTGGTCTATTCTATCCAACTTTAGTGTATTTGGTTTTCTCAGTTGGCTGAATGACGTTTTCCTTACCTGCCTCCAAACCTTTGAGCTCGGTGGGGCTTTGTGGACTTGCTTCAGGAGAACGAGGAGGGAATTCTGGCCAGAATTCCTCCTCTTCCTCCTCAGGTTCTGGTGAAAGAGGCTCATCAGAAGTGCTGCCACTTCGACCCTGCAGGAAGGGAAGGAAGGTGGGGACGGTCAACCAGATTAATTTTTTCCTTCATTTGATTTTCTAGGTTTATATTCTGCCTTACCTTCAGCATCTCAAGGCAGCATGCATAGTATTCTCTTCTCCCATAATAACTTCCCATTGTGATTAGGTTGGACAGTGACTGTCCCAAAGTCATCCAATGCACCTCCTTCAGTGAGATGCCCCAGTCTTCCCCAGTCTAAATCCTTAAGCACTGCAGCACCCTGGCTCTTTTGTTCATAACTAGGCCTTACAAAGTTCTTTTTTTTTGTTATGTATTCATATATACTGCTCAAAAAAATAAAGGGAACACAAGCAGAAGACATCCGAGATCTGAATGAATGAAATAGCCTTATTAAATACTTTGTTCTTTACATACAGTAGTTTATACACTGCTCAAACAACTAAAGGGAACACAAAACTACTGTATGTAATGAACAAAGTATTTAATAAGGCTATTTCATTCATTCAGATCTCGGATGTCTTCTGCTTGTGCTCCCTTTATTTTTTTGAGCAGTGTATATTGATAAATAAAACAAACAAACAGAAATGATAGTTTACAAACTTCTACATAGATGGATTCTATTGAAAACCTTTCCTTGCTATTCTTCCCTTGTGCTTTCTAGCCTAAGGAGCAATAGTTCATCCAGTTAATACAGGGCTGGAAATTCCGACTTTTTCTAATCAGTTTCAGAATGTAAGCAGGGAATTCAATTTTTTTTCTACTCAGTTTTAGATATTCAGCATTGTACCTTTTATAAACTCATCTGGTAAAACCTCATCAAAATTTCTTGTAGGCTTTCCTCCCAGAACAGGTGCCGTCAAGTCATTTCCCCAAAAGTTAATACTAATGATATATAGGTTAGTTTTACATTTTCAGCTCATTTTAAATCGTAGTAGGAAGGTCCTGCATAATTTGAGATTTCTATAAAGCAATAATGTAATTTTCATTTTTTAAAAATTGCATCCAAAGTTTACCTAATTTCACTTACAGTATAAGTAAGTAATGCTAGTTTAAAGTCATCTCCTATCTACATAAGTTCAGAGAAAAATCTAGAGCTGTGATGGCGAACCTATGGCACGCAGCACCCTCTCTGATGGCACGCGAGCCGTCGCCCCAGTTCAGCTCCGCTGCGCTTGTGCACATGCCCCCCGCCAGCCAGCTGGTCTTTGGGTCTCTGCTGTGCCACGCATGCACAGGGGGTCAGGGTGCATGCAGGGGCTGCATGTGCATGCGGGGGGCACATGTGCGGGGTGTGTGCATGCATGGGGGCGGGGTCCATGTGGGGGGTTGTGAGTGCATGCACGGGGGTGGGGTGCGTGCAGGGGGCACTTTGCATTTTGGGGGGTTGGGTGCGCGCACATTTGCGCCTGCACACACACGCTTTGGGCACTCAGTCCAGAAAAGGTTAGCCATCACTGCTTTAGAGGTTGCTATGAAACTATAGAACAAGGACAAACTCCCTTCCTTCCTTGCTTCCTCCCTCCCTCCCTCCCTCCCTCCCTTCCCATATCTGAAACCCACAAAGGGAATTGCAATGATATTAAGATAATTCTGGGAAAAGTTAAGGAAGAAGTTGTGACATTCTTTGAATGAGGACATTTAGTTTTGAAAGTTAGATAACCTTAACTGATCTATGTTTTCTTATTTTGCAAGCCTTTGTTTTTTGATGATTTGGTAGCTAATTTCGGTGGCAGAAAATCAGTTCATTCTGGGGGCTGTATGACAGTGACTGGGAATAGCATGTATATGACGGATCATCTACTCAGGCTATAAAAAATGATCCCACTTCTTTCAACCATCTTCCCAAGGAAAAGTTCCTTCAATTGTAATTTCCTATGAGTACCTGTGGAAGAGTAACACAGTTTCTTTGCTTTTTCTGTCTTTACCAGACGTCTTATGATTGGAAGACATAGAAACAAAGGTGAAGAAAACTAGGCAAGTTACCATATAAATGTGTTGTTATTTAACAATTCTTTCACATTCTTTGTGAATGGTTGAATAATAGTATGGGTAGTCCTTGATTTACAACCGTTCTTTTAGTGATCGTTTGAAGTTTACAACAGCACTGAAAAAAGTGACTTAAGATCATTTTTCACACTTACAACCATTGCAGCAGCATCATGACCACGTGAATAAAATTCAGATGCTTGGCAACTGACTCATATTTATGACGGTTGGTGTGTCCCTGGGGTCATGTGATCACCTTTTGCAACCGTTTGACAAGCAAAGTCAATGGGAAAGTCAGATTCACTTAACAACCGTGTTACTAACTTAACAACTGTAGTGATTCATTTAACAATAAAAATTTTGAGCTCAATTGTGATCATAAGTTGAGGACTACCTGTATAATAAAACTTGTCTTACTGTAAGTTTTGTATTGGTATGTTGTAAACATAATATAAGCTGGCACATAGCTAAACGGAAACAAATTAAAATTAATGACAGACATATATATTAGTCCAGGTTAGTGTATTGTCGATTTGCCCACCAACATGAAGTTACATAGACTAAAATAATGTGACATGAAAATGCAAGGGCAAGAAGGATAAAAAATACTCCTGATGTTTTATAGAAAAGAAGTGCCAGGAGCTAATTCTCTTGAAAGAAAAGAAGCAAATGATTACAATTTGAAATATATTCTGTTCTCACCTCTTCCTTGGCATTTTTCTTCAGAACATCAGCCTTTTTCCCGTCCTCTCTCTGTAGGTCTTCTGGTTTTCCAGAAACATCATCTTTGGTCTCAGATACACCTTCAGATTCTGGTTGGCTGCTTTCTTTGACTGTTTTCTCCTTCTGGCTTGCCTTGGATGCCGTCCCCTTTTCAGATTCAGAAGCCTCTTCTGTAGATTCTTCCTTCTGCTTTGCCTCAAGTCCAGCAGCCTCAGTTACCCCAGCCTCCTTCTCTCCATGCACCTCATTCCCAGCAGCCATCTTTGCTTTCTCTAATTCACTTGCATCATCCACCTCTTTCCCAGTTTCTTCTGCAAACTTTCCGTCCTCTTTAGTTTCTTTCTCACCAGTCTCTGCTTTTCCTGCCTCACTCTCTCCTTCAAATGCATTTTGAGTCATTTCTGACTTCTGCTGCAGTTCGTTGATCTGCTGGTTCTTCTCTTGTTCCTTGGTTTCTCCAGTCTCCATAATACCAGGTTTCTCTGTTGTTCCAATGGAGTGCAAAGTAAGTGGCCTATTCACACTCCACTCCTGGAAATAAATAAATAAATAAATAAATATATATATATTGAAAAAAAAATAAAAATAAACATGAAATCTCAGTGTTAAAGGCTTCCACTTTTTTTACACAAATTAATAACGTATATTGTAACTGTTAATTTGTCCCAACTGCTTGGGCAATCCTTGGCATCTCTAATTTGCAGTTAAATGTGTGATCTGACTCTATTGAAAAGCTGAGGGCATTTAATGTGATGAGGGACTGTTCACTCAGAGAAGTCATCAGTGAATGTGTGTGTGTGTCAATTGCACTGAATACATTTTATTCCTTAAGATCTAATGTAGATGCCAGGAGGAGGAGGAGGAATATGGAAGGAGAGGCTGATTTCACAAAACCTTTCTTCTAAAGTATATGACAGTGATGGCTAACCTTTTCTGGACCGAGTGCCCAAAGTGTGTGTGTATGTGCGTGTGCGCGCCCGAACCCAAAATGCAATGCATGGATGGGCCCCCGCATGTGCCCTGTACCTGTGCATGCGGCAGCCACCCGCATACGCACGTGGCCCCGCCGCACTTGTCTCCCCCGCACGCGCCCCACCCCCGTGCATGCATGGCAGAGACCCGAAGACCAGCTGGTTGGTGGGAGACGTGCATGCATGCGCGGCAGGGCTGAACTGGAGCAACGGTTTGCGTGCCCACAGAGAGAGCGCTGTGTGCCACCTCTGGCACACATGCCACAGGTTCACCATCACGGGTATATGACATGCAGCTACGAAAATTCTATAACTATTGCCAAACTGGAGTTTTTGCTGTGCTGAAAATCACCTTACATAGTAATCACATCCACGGCAGTAAAAACACTTGCTATTCTCTTCTTCTGCACTTCTTCTGTATTTCAGAACAATTTGATCATATGCTTAGTATGAGCCATTAGAACTGTATTAAAGTTTTCAGAACTGCAGCTGAGTAACCTCCTTTATTGGACATTCTAGTGCAAGTGGGGCTGCATTTGTGTGCATCACCCTGTGTTTCTGAACATAGGAAACATGACCTACAGTCTCATATCCAACGTGTGAGATCACAAAACGTGGCTTAACACAGAACCTGGCAACATGTGCTTTAATCCGCCCTTCTTTGAGTATTAACAGGCAGAACTATGCGCGCGGCTAAACTCACCAACCTCTATCTGGGTTAATCCGGTACATTTTTCTGCCTATGACAGGGTAGCAAATATTTCTCATCCCCAGCATAAGATACATGGTGTTATTCCAAGTAAATACAGTATAAAGACTTTTGGCATGTAAGGCAACAGTCTTGTAGACAATCTCCTCTTCCTGTGATAGTAAAAATACAGCAGTCATAAAAGTTTTAGAAGTTGCTATTCTTGCCTCTTTCTGCCTAATGGTGAGATTGGTCCCGTCAGAGAACACTTCAAAGGAGCAAATTATCTGAAGCACAAGATAGATCCTCGGTGGCTGGGAAACTCCTGTCCTCTTCCTTTCTTATCACTTAATAAATCATCTTTAAATAAAACCTGCCAACGAAGTCCAGGAACAGCCAGTGACTCAGACATGGAAAGAGCAAGCGGCAGTTCTGGGGAAAAGGGGGCAAGTGGGTTGCTGTAACACCAACTAAAAATACCCTCCTGACATTTGCAAAGACAGTGGAGAAGTCACTAGAAGTGCCTAGAAGGCTCTTAGCTCATTTCGCTTGGTACCCTATTATTCTTCCGGGGGCTGTAACTCCATATTCTATTGAAAGCAATAGATTTGTTAGTTTTTAATTACTAAACACATGGTAGTTTAGTAAAAAAAACACAGTGGTTAGAATGCAGTACTGCAGGGCTAACTCTCTGCTCACTCCAGGAGTTCAATTCTGAGTGGCTCAAGGTTGACTCAGCCTTCCAGCCTTCCGAGGTTGGTAAAATGAGAACTCAGATTGTTGGGGGCAATTATGCTGACTCTGTAAATCGCTTAGAGAGAGCTGTAAAGCACTGTGAAGCGGTATTTAAATCTAAGTGCTTTTGCTCTTGCTCTGTTAGTAAAAGTGCTCTTTCAGTTAAAAAAAAAAGCCACACCATTTATTATCCTGTTTGCTCAATATATGAATTGTAGGGGAAGTTTCCCACTGTTTTCAGAAAAGAAAACTTTTTCCTGAAAAAGCGAGTGAGAGAGAAAGAGCTACAAGAAAAAGTCCCTCACTGAATAATGATGATGATCTGAAGATGGAAATCTTATGTAATCATCCAAAGAATCATTGGCAGGTAACTGTGTATGTCCATTGACTGGTTCCAAATACATTTTATTTATTTATTGGTTTGATTTATATGCCACCCTTCTCCGGAGACTCAGGGCGATTTACATTGTGTTAAGCAATTGCCTTCATACTTTTGTATATACCTGCTTAGTAGGGCTTTCGGGCCCCCCCTAAGTGGTGTTCTTTTTTATACAAAGTCAGCTTATTGCCCCCACAATCCGGGTCCTCATTTTACCTACCTCAAAAGGATGGAAGGCTGAGTCAACCTTGAGCCTGGTGAGATTTGAACTTGCAGTAATTGCAGGCAGCTGGTGCTACTTAACAGCACTTTAGTCTGCTGCGCCACCAAGGCTTTTTCCTACTTCGTTTTCAGCCAATCTCCACTCAGGGGTCATCCTTCCTGAACTGTACTCATGTTCTTCTCTTTCATCTCCACACTTCTGCCTTGGATTCCCAGTGGTATACTCATAACTCAGTCACACTACAGCAACTGTAGAAATCCTTAGGTGCCCTTTCATTGTAGGACTTTACTAAAATATGAGAATATAACACACTTAGGAGAAATAGATGCTTTTGTTCTCAGGTCATCTTTGATCTGAGATGATTTAAGAATGCTAAACAGACAATTTTCTTTTTTGCTTCTTAACTGCCAGAGGAGCTTATTAGAATCAAGATGGGAAAAGTCAGGGCTGTAGGCAGGACTGGGAAATTGAAAAAGCATCCTGGAAGGATAATGGCAAATCATTTTTGTAATGCTGATGAGATACATCCACAAAGTTATCAAGAATTGAACCAGATTAGAAAGAAGTGTCAGAGTATGTCTGCTGGGATAATGGTGCAAATTTCATTCTTCTCTACTGGAGCTATAAGCATATTCACTAAGTCACAGAAGCAGTTTGAGTACATTAAAAACCATTTCACTGAAGAAATAAATTCTTAAAACCTGTGCATGCCAGTCACACAGAATATAGGGCATTATTTGAGCTAAATGCTGAATATTGTGGTGAATTCTGGATGATTGAGTATTACCGCCTGCCTTATTCTTGTCCTTCTAATACCAGTTGATGCCTTTCCAGCCTTTGAATATTCAGTCATGCCATAAGTTCCTTGAAACCAGACTAACTAAAGTCTGCAGCAAAGTGGGAAAATCTTAAAGAGTATAGTCCCGTGTTAACTTTCTTGAAATTGGTTTATATGAGATTTGTACCAACCTTGGTATCTTTATTTCTCTTTTCAAAAAACCAGAAAAGCATAGCAGAAGTTCTGTGCCTTGCTGACTTGCATGCATTTTAAATTTTAAATGATTTACAGCTCTGTAAATATGTTTAAACTGAAAATACATTCCAAAGCTCCTTGAGAGCTCCATCATAGAGCATTTGCTATTTTCCTTCATACACCAGTTTTCTCAGAGGTGTCACCATTGTAAAAGAAATTGAGATGCTTGGCCTTCAACATTACACAATAAACAGAAACTCAAATGGTGTACCTTTCAAAATATATCTTTACCACTAACAATACTAGGAAGTTACAGATTCAGAGAAATAGAGACAACACATTTATTTTTTATCTGAGGAAAAGGATTGCCTAATTTAGCCTTCAATGAACATTTAGACTGAATATTCCAAAATAATCTCAGAATGATGTATAGTAAAAACACTTTTTAAAAAAAGTATGAACAAGGATTCCATACAGCATATAAAAAGGCAACATAAAAGTAATCAGCAATAAAACGTAAAGAACAGGATAATAATCAGAGATAAAATAGGTTGGATAATATATATTTGGTTTAAAGACTCAGTGAAATCAAAAGCTCTGGGTCTGCAGATAACTAGAATAAACATCAGTTGAGCCTTTTTGATGAACTAATGCCACAACCAGAGCGCCATCCATCAGGAGGCTCTGTTTCTGGCCATTACTTGCCACCCTGGGATATGGTCCATCTTTGCTCTTTTGAAGAACTCTCAGCATCATAGACTTCATTACTTTTCTTCTTTTCTAGTTCTCAGTGTTCTTCAGTGAATACTTTAGAGAATAGCTAATTCCCATACATAACCATTCTTCTTATGTGTCCTAAATTTTTTGGGGGGAGATAGGAGAATATGATATGCGCTTAAGTATAACTTCACCATGAGGTTTCCTCCCTCCCATCTCTATTTCTCCTTCCAGAGTATAAAAATCCTACCTGAGCTCTCTAGGACCTGAACATGGTGTAGGAGTCATCAAATGGCCATCTCCTTATATCTTGGGAATAAACACTTACCTGGAGTCACACCTAGGAACAGTTCTTTAGTGAGCCCAGAGTCTACTATGGACCATTTAGAAAGATGATGCCCTAGAAATCAAACTCCACCTACCTATTGGTAGGCCCTTCCCCGAGGCTAGCTGACTTTCTCCGTGTCTTCTTTCTCCTGACTTCTTCTGCCAATATCTCAATCCCCACTCCTATCGCTATGCCTGCCTGCAGCATTTCTCTCATTGTTTACTACTCTGTTGATACAGCCACCCTCCATTCTGTGATGGGTAACTAAACACTCCTATTTTTATCAGGAAGGCAGCAGGTGCTTCTTTCAATCATAGCCCCTACTTCTCAGAAGAGCCAGATGGAGCCAGGACAAGGTAAAGAGTGATAGCTGCTAGCAGCCTCTTAGCAGTTCAGCTCAACATTTAAGGGAATCACAGGAACGAACTATTTTTCTCTTTTAGGGGGAAAGTGAGGTCTAGCGAGCTGCCTGTAAGAGATTTTTTAGCCTGTGTATTGGTCTCTCGAGGCATCAGCTGTATGGGAGAATACTCCAGTGCTATTAATAATAGACACAGTTTCCATAGCCTTTTGTCACTTCTGATAAACAACAGACATTCTAAGGAAATTTGAAAGGTGGCCCACATGGATTCAAAGAACATTTATACAAAAAGCAAAGGAAACTGCCAGAATACTTTAAAAAGAAGTCATATCCTTAAGAGGATCGAAGGAGCTGTACAAGTATATGAAATGTCTCCATTTAGAGCAGAACTGTTATTTACTTCCCTTATGCATTGCTATTTAATGCATACGATGTTTTGGGTTTCCGTAAGAGGATAAAAATTCTAAATAAATAAAAGCAGGAATCCAGGCTCTAGTACTTTTTTCCCCATTGAGGATTAGAGATGATACAATGCAGGGCGTTGAGTGAACCAACATTGCCATACTTCATTTTTGCACTCTCTTTAAGATGGGTTTAGCACCATAGAAGCCCTGGGACACTCTGTACTCTTGAAAAACAGTAAATTTCACAGAAATGGAGAATGTCTGAAGGAATATTGAGAGTGAGATGTCATCATTCTGAATGAAGTTGAATATTCAGTTTCATCAAGAGACAAGTGCACCTCACTCATCTTGGATAAAGCAAAGAGAGCTTTGCTTGAATTATTTTAATTTGATATTGTAGCTTACTTATCAACTATCAAAAAAATTGAGTTATGTGGAGATTTTTTTTTTATTTTTTTAAATTTGATTTATATGCCGCCCTTCTCCGAAGACTCAGGGCGGCTTACAATGTGCTCAGCAATAGCCTTCATCCTTTTGTATATTTATACAAAGTCAGCTTATTGCCCCCACAAACTGGGTCCTCATTTCACCTACCTTAGAAAGGATGGAAGGCTGAGTCAACCTTGAGCCTTGGCGAGATTCGAACCCTGCAGTAATTGCAGGCAGCTGGTCTTAATAAGCTTAATAACAGGGTGCCTTAAACCCCTGTACTACCAAGGCTCTTTTGATACATTACCTTATTTTTCAAAGTATAAGATGCTCCAGAGTATAAGACGCACATTAGTTTTTGAGGAGGAAAACAAGAAAAAACAAATTCTGCCTCTGCCCACCAGCATCCATCGGTATTCACCTGGCTAGTGTCCTTGCAGCAAACAGCAAACAGCCTGGTCAGCTTCAGCACGTTATCGCAGCTTGATTTAGCATGATCAGCTGATTGGCAGTTGGATTGGCCTCCCAGAATACCACTAATCAGCTGTTCCACGCTGTGGGGATCGCCAGAGCCCATCGCCGCCTCCACATGTTGCATTATCAGCCTCCGTGCGTTGCGTTTTCGGCCTCTGCATGTTCCATTTTTGGCCTCCATGAGTTGCATTTTTGGCGAGTTCCAGGCGGTGGGGATTGCAGCTGCCACTGCTCCCCACCACCCAGAACCAGCCAAAAATGCGACGCACGGAGACAAAAAACGGGGCATGCGGAGGCTGAAAACGCTATGC